ATATGTTTTCCCTAACTAACACTAGCAATCCTCTATATAAGCGATATCGATCTTTCGTTCCTTTCGCGGCTTCCTCCTTCCCTCCCTCCCTTCCTTCCTCCCTTCCTTCCTCCCTTCCACCCGGCCAACGGTCCCGACGCGACACCGACAAACCAGCTAAAGACTAAAGACTTTCGGCGAAGCAACCGGCTGATGGACGACTCGTCGGAGTTTCAGGCCAGCCATTCATCGATTGCCGATTCTCTCGTTGTTGTTATTGTTGTTGTTGTTGTTGTTGTTGTTGTTGTGATCTCGAACTCTCGTACTCCATCATTGCACAAATATCACGTTGTACATATGTATCGTTACATAAGCCTCCGTTAAGCCATAATTTCGTCGAACCAAAGGGCAAAGAGGAAAGAGCCGCAGCCAGACGAGTCCGCCACGCGAGTTTTCCTCACCTTTCTCGTTCTTCCATTCCCCTTACAACTCACGTCGCCGCGAGGATGCGTTTTCCCCGGCGAGATTCTCGCACCTCGGTCGAGTCGTCTGGCCGACTCGCTCGTCTACACGCGAACGATTCTTGGTAGCAAATTGATGACGCACGGTGCGTGACGCGCGCGTTTCCCTCGATCGAAGGCAGCGTGTAAGGGTAAGTAAATAGTACGTCGATCGGGCGTGCGTCACGCTGTAAATTATCACCGTAATCTTTATTCTCTCTCTCTCTCTATCTCTCTCTTTCTCTCTCTGTCTCTCTGGGCCCTGGGTGAAACCTACTGTATCATATTCAATGCACCTGTGTAGGCTGTCCATATCGATCTCGATCGTTGCTCGGAATTATCACTATAATAAAAGACGTAATCGTTTGAATTACGTTTAATAAACGAGCGTATGGACATCCTATCGAGGTGAGCGAAAAAAACGCCACGAAATAACGTCACGAGCCACGAAGAAGGAGCGCACGTAAGGATCGGTAGCAGTAAATGGATAATGTAACGAGCAATGTAACGTAGGAAGGTCAGGATGATTATTATACGAGCACCGTAGTAGTCGAATAGACTGGACGTGCTGGAGCCGCTGCAATTACACGCCAACTGTCTTTCCATTTTTCTTTTTTTTTTTTTTTCTCTTTTTTTTTCGAACGATTCTCGTCTGTCGTTCGTCCTCTCTCCGCGAGAATGATCTCGCTTATTTGGAATTCGTTCGAATTAAAATTGGGTGGCGCTATTTGCAGGTGGTAGCCGGAAGCGGAAGTCGTCTGGATTCTTCGTCGGGTGGCGAGAGCGGGGAACCCGATGGGGTTCACGAGGCGGTCCCGGGGCCGGTTACCAGGCTCTTCGTCATCGCCAACAGAGGAATCGCCAATCTTATACAGGATCTCATTCTTGTGAGTAATCTTTCTCTTATGGTTTATTATATATATATATATACGTGATATAATTGATCGTTTTCGAATAGGGACGATCTTTCTTCTCTCCGTGGAATATAGATTCAATCGAAGCGCTGATGAAGATAAATGATACGATAATTTGAATTTCTTATTATTGTGTTAATTAATAATTTGAATATTTAAATCTCTTAAATATTGATTTAATAAATCAGATATCGTTGAAGCTATCGGATAATAAAGATAAATGATGCATCGAGGAGATTTTTTGTTACTATATCTATTTACGGGAAGAAACGTGAATGATAACTCGACGATTAGATATCGAAATTTACGATTGCGAGATCAACGAAGCGAGAAATTTTCCGCGCGAAAAAGAGTCGATCGAAACGATTGTAGATAGGCGGAACGAATGTGCACGATTTTCCGGTCGATCATCGATGCTCGATGTTCAGATTCGCTTCTCGATCCTATTTTTTGAAGGAAGAAATCTGTTTTTAACTTGTCTTTCTTTTTTTTTTAGTAAAAACTTAGTCCGTTTTTACGTAATCGATTTTTTTCGAAAGTGAAACCACGTTGATATTAAGAAAAGAATTATTTTTTTTCCTTTCGTTTACATAAACAGGACGTTGGCAATTTTCTATGAATAAATGAACGTGGAACGTAGACACGAGCGATTAGAATCATCATTCCAGATGATGCACGTAAGAAGATTGATGCATCCTGATTTTTTAGATACCGTAATAATATAAATATCGTAATGATAATCAAAAAAGAAAAAAAAAAAAAAATTAATCATTTCCATCTCTATCTCGGAATTCACACGATTAATTTGTGATGAAATTGATATCTTGATCGGCCTAATCGATTAAATTAATAATTACGATCGAATTACGATTTTTATTAAAAATTTCCTAGAAAACAGATATATTTTAAATTTCGCGTGGACCAAAATTTTCGCGTGGAAAAAGACGAAAGTCGCGCAAAAAGCGTGGCGTGTTGTCGTTCTAGATACAAAACCGGCCGATTACGTAAGGACCCCCGTCAGAATCGATGGAAAGCAAAAAATGTAAGCGACTTTCTCTATGAAACAGCTCGTCCATTTGCCGCCTAACTTATGCAAGCTGCCATAGCAAGCTGACACGCGATATGACCAGACACGATCGCTTCCTCGATCTTCGACGGATGATTCGACCTTCGAAACAATTGCCTCGTTATACGTACGTACATAGGTTTCGACGTCATCGTGGCGAAACTTTTCGAAACTATTTCTTATTTCCCTGGTTAATTCTTGCCTAGAATATCTATCGATTGATAGAATTTCGAAATAGGCAACGCTGTTTGGCAAAATTTTCAAACTCATGAATTATACAACAATCGTCCGTCTTGCTCCAGATATCATAACGCGTTGACATGCCACGTACGTATATATATATATATATATATATATATATATATATATATATATATATGTATAAATAGACCGATCGACGCTCAAACGTTCCGCTCGCGAATCACGTTTCACTCTCGAGCGCTGTGAATTCACAACGAAAGCGAAACCGATCGGCTAAAGAACCAACCAACAAGCCGGCAACTATTCAATACAGGCCATTGATCGCCATTGATCTCGTCTAATTCTCCGCCGCCGGAGAATTGCAGGGGGAAATCGATTCATTCATATGTATTAGGACCAATTAATCGATCGGTCGTGTTACTCTGATTGAGAGTAAGGAGAAACTCGACTCGTGCACGATATTTTTTCCACGAGTGTTCCATTTGGGATCCGTGCTGGGAAGAAAGTGGAAGCCGAAAAACGAACGCGCTATCCGGTTACGATGTTATTCCGCGTTTTATCGTTTTTCCACTACTCGTAATTGACGGTGGTCCACGTCTCTTTATTTCATTGAAGCGAGAGGCTCGCACCGCGAGAAAACCAGAGAAAGCAACGCAGCGTGAACGCAACGTAGAGAGAGAGAGAGGGAGAGCAGCGATGAATTTATCACGACGGAGCTCGTACGTTAAGTTGTTAAAGTTAATCGCGCTTGTTATATGCCATCTTCGTCGAGCGTGCTCGCCGGCGAGAAACATTCGTTCGAAAGCGTTCACGCTTCGCGCAACGCGTGGAATCTGTCTGCTTTCCGTAAAACTTCGTTACGAGGCTCGAGTCTCGAGCCGACCTCGCAAGTTGGGAGCGCAAGGATCCCGATGATCGAGCCGGCCCTAAACAGATCGATAATCGTTTCTTGCGCTCGTCACGGTGAAACCGTGATCGGGTAAAAAGTGTCGAAAGCGTCTCCTCGAAAGCGTTGCGAACGTTCCTGTCCTTGGAGCGCGGAAATGGCGCGATCTCTAATATATAAAATAGCGCGGATAATTCGAGAATATCGAATTAATTTTCCCTAGGAATCGTTTCGAATCAAGATCGAAGAGGCGGGGTATTTTTCTTCGAGATTTTATTAACTCGAAAAAAGAGAAATCTATTTCCTCAAGTTTCAACGTAAAACTTCAAATGTTCAAATGTTCGAAGAGAGATGCGACACCGTAATCCAAAATTGTGTTTCGTCTTTGTTTTCAGCGCCTGGCAGCGACGAGCGAACGCATCGTCAACTTCAAGGCAAGACTGATCACTTCCATCATTTAGGGGATAAACGCGCGATGGGATATCAAAGCGTAAGGAAAAAAGGAAAAGTGCCCGATGATCGAAAAATCGCTTGGGAACCACGCGAAGATCCATTCCTGGGCCGTGATTGTCGAGCAAGGAGCACGGGTACGACGTTGGCAACGCGAGCAACCGCGTTGCCCCCTTGTCCCCGAGATCCAAATCCGCCTCGTCGTCGATTCTATCGAATTCTCTTTGTTCCGTTAAATAATTTAACCTCGCGTCCTCCACTTCCACGTCCACGCGGCGGCATCCATCTTTGTTCTTCGACTCTCGTGCTTCGCTTCCCTACTTCGTTTCCCTACTCTCGTTTCCTACTTCTCGTCCTCCAATATCTCTCTCTCTCTCTCTCTCTCTCTCTTTTTTGATACTTTTTCTTTTTTTTTTTGTTTTATGCGTAGTTACATAGATTACTTTCTTATTTAGTTTGTGGTTACTTACGTAGCGGTTAGGAAGTTTACACCTCGCGAGATTCATTTCGCTCGAACTTTCGTCGAAACGGTGTTCTTCTTTCCTTTCTTTCCTTTCTTTCTTTCCTTTTCAATACGCGTTCGAATTTTGTAATTTTTTTGCCGCGATACTTGAAATCTGAAGATCGGTCGATCGTGATATAATATTTTCGTTCGATTTTGCGATAAAGAATTGACGCAAATTCGAGTAAAATCTCGCTTGGTCCAATGTATATAGCTATGTTCTTGGTATTCGCAACTGTGCCAATCATTGTTTCTTTCCTCCCGATCGATGTACACGTATAAGAAAGGGCTGCCAACCCGCTGCGGTGATTGCGGTTACCATCTACTAAACTAAACAGATTCTCCCTATTATTATTGTACAGAATTATTAGTTTGAAATTCATTCGACCATTTGAATCGTCGCGTACGAGATGGAACGATATCGATATCTTTTATCTCGGAGAATAAGGCGAGACAAGAAAGATGGTCATCCTCGAACGATACATAAAAAAGTGTGTCGATCTTCGAAATTCGACGTGCTATTTCTTTTATTGTAAATCGTCTCTCTCTGTTACTTCGTAGTGTAAATAAACAAATACAAATTGTCGTAAAATTTAAATATTCTTTCCACCACTCCTGTCAATTTCAAAAGTGTATTCTAACACTTCTCTTTTCCTTATTCCTTATATAATCGAATACAAATGTAAACGAATACGCGTATCGACATCAATTGTATCATCATCAATATTTGATTCACTTTGATTACTTAACAAAACTTAGCAAAAATATTCGATATTCGAGAAACTTCTTATCAAACGTCTTACGCTTCATCATCAAAGCGGAATATTTGGCAAAGATATTTGAACTATCGTAAAAGTATCGTTGAATACCACGCCACTATTCATTACGTCATTTCATTAATCGAGAAAATTTCCCTTCTCGCCAAACGATTGTCCTCGTAGATCCACTTCGATCATCCTTTTTCTCTTCTTCTCCCTCTCTCTTTTTTTTTTTTTTCTTTCTTCTTTTCATTAATGCTCATCACGAATCCTCACTGCACGTCAATTCCGTCGACAAAGTATCCTCCTTCGAAGATTCCGTGGCTTCCTCCTCGAAGACGAAAATTTCGTCCTCGCAGGAAGCCCACCGGTGTAGCTAGGGTGGCGATATCAACAGTGGTTGCTCCTCGGGCAAACCGACGTAAACTGGATCCCCTACTCGCACGACGCCGTTGGAATTCCTCAATCCAAGGTGAATTCCAAGTACTGGACTCTCGCCGACCAACGGACGAATAATTGGATCCATTATTTGTCTGTAACTGTAGAAAATCGGTGTAATCAATCGGGAATAGAATATAGAATGTTAAATTTCGTAATAAATGAAAAGAAAGCTAGCTTAAGAGTATTATCATCGTTCAATGACCAGCGAACCTTTTCAGAGTTTTCAACGGCTCCACTTTTGGATTTTTTGTTCCTGTCTCCGGATCTACAGTGGTAAAGATACATCTGGTGCATGGCATGACAGTTTTGAAGATCACATCACCGATCTTCACCCAGCCCCAGGTATCCTCTTCGTACGCGGTTGCACCTTTGATCACGAAGTTAGGACGAAATTGTTCCGGGTTGACCGGCTTCTCTAATCGGGTGTTCAGGTCTGTTACCGATGCTTCGTTTATCAAGCAGTAGCTGGTAGCATCTGGATACGCGCCCTGTTCGATTATTTAGATCATAATATATACATTTCTCTTAATTTAATTAATTAATTAATTGTAACTCGATCGATAAAACTTACAGTGTCGTCGGGTGTCAGCAACCACTGTTTATTGCTCTTCCTGATCTCTCTCGTTGGATAATCCAGTGGATAATACACCAATCTGAATCCGGTATCTTCCTGGAGGAGAAATCGGGACAACCATCTGGCAGCCTCCTCGCCGCAATCACAGGCGGATACAGGTTGACCCCAAACTGCTACGCGAAACCCTTTCCCTTGGATTCGAGACAAATCGATGGAGAAGGATATCATTCCAGGTGCCGAGAGCGTGAGAATCGTTCCGGAAACTTTAGGTATAACCTTCGAATCATAAGAAATTTCACTCCTTTGATTTCGTTTTAATTTAAAAAAAAAACGAGAATGATTTTCCAAATTTTCCAAATAGAAATGCCAAAATTTTCAAACGGAAATGCCAAAAGTTGTCAAGATGAAAGTCGTGTATTCGACACGGTGAAAAAGACACGGCGTGGAATCAGAGCAGAAACAAGAGTTGCCGAACAAAAGGCGAATATGCGATACTTAAATTAATTACACTCGCGTCCAACTTCTTCGACGATTAATTTTCCTCCAATTTTCACGACGATAAAACAGCTCGTTAATCCCGATTATAAAAGTTCCGTGCTTCCTAAATCGATCGTTCGAGAAGCAAATGAGAGGAAGCTCAAACCAAATTGATGGTGTTCGAGATTGTGTAAACGAGGAGGCTTAACGATTCGTGAAGGATACGTTCGAGATAGAAAATATAGTGCGTGATTATCGCGCATCGATCTTATAAATCCATTCACCGGCTTTCGCAACGATTCTTACTCGAGATTCTTTTCCTTCTTTTTAAAAAGCTTCTTCGCGGGCGATACGCTCAGTCAGATTATAATCTAATAGTAACTCGTTATCCGATATCATTTGCTACACGAAATAATGCTACTTGAAATAATTATACTTGCACCGTTATCGTTTTCATCGCGTGCCAAGATAAGAATTACTTATTCTCAAAATCTATTTAATCTTTTATTTTTTACAAACTTTCGAGAACAAATCCTTTCGAGAAACTCGATACTTTTTCTCTCCGAAGGGAATCGCTTTCTCTTACCTGGACCATTTTCGGATTCTGCCTGCCGGTGACGAAGTGTCCGTTCAAGTCGATGACCATCAACGTACGATCCCTTAGCCAGCCAGATTTCAGGCCAAGCTTCGTGCACTCCATCGTGTTCATTCGAACAGGGCCGAGCGACTTGATCGGATACACGATCAGGTCGCTCAACTCGCCGACCTTTCGCCATTGCGAGGGTGGCTTCTCCTTCTGCTTTTTGGACCACCACCACCACCAAAGGAAGACGACCACGGTTCCGGCCCCGACAACGGCCGCAGACACGTACGTGAGCCGAGTTCTGTCTGTTTCACGAAACGTTCACCGATTAATTATCCACGGTCAAGTGACCATGCAAAACGTTCCGTTGTGAAATTGTTGTTGTGGCTCGCGATCCAACGTTCAGATAACAACGTTGATAAAGCGCTACCACCAAAATTTTAATTTAAAGCTAGATATTTTTTGTTATTTGTTTTAACCTGAAATTGTTGCAATTATCGAGTTAGACGATTATTCTAGATTTTTCTTTATTTTTCTTCATGTCTGTATCTCTAGATCTTATGTATTATTAATATTATATCTTATTAATTTTACGTTTCAGAGAACGTATTCCGGGGAAAGGAGGCAAGGAGAGAAGTTATTTGCGGAAAAAAAACAAATAAAGAAATATCCACCGAGGATATTCTCATTTCTGATGAAGTATCTTTCGTCGCTACTTAAATCTGTCTCAATCAATGTGAAATTTTTTTTGCACCTGTGTAAAATTCATCCAATAAATAGGCATCTATAATAGGCGCTGTCAGACATTTATTTTTCAAGCAATATATGGAATCCGGAATTGCAAATCATTTAAGACACAATTATTAATTCGCGATGTGAACGAGGCATCTTTTTTTCAATGGAATCTCCCGTGTGTATCGCCGTTCTATATTTGCATCTTATACGATTTCGAAAAATTGGCTCCAAGCGATACAAATTCGAACAACGATTAACGGTATTCGAACGAATGGAATACCGGCATCCTTCTCGGCCAGCTTGGAACAAATAAAATGTAAATTGTTGAAATTGACATCCATTCGTCCGTGAGAAAATTGGAACGGAACGTAACGGAATATCACGGTTGACCAGGAGTACGTTAGACGTGTTGCATAATTTGTTGAATGATGTTGAAAAAAAAAAAATCTTATCGAAGGTCTTTTAAAAATGAATACTCGAAGAATGTCGTGCTTTTATTTTTTTCTTATCGTTCTTGATAATTATTGTAAAAATATTCTCGATCATCGAGATTTTCATTAGAGGATATTTTGTGTCGAATGTTAATTTAAGAATAACACGAAGAATATACAATTATCCGGATTATTTCCGATTTGTGATAATCGTGCGAAGTGAATAAATACACTTATCTTATACCTTCGTTTTATCTATATATTTTATACATATATAATGATATTTAACGATTAAATCCTCGTTAACTCGATCAATTATCTTTTATGCAATTCATGGCATCTATATGTATTGTGGATATATTTCGTATATATCGATTTGCTGTTTTGGAGTATTTTGCACGAGGCATGAAAATCGAATACAGGGAGACAACGGACCCTGAAATCAATACCAAGGGCGTTGCTTCCCAACGCACAACTGGATGTAGAAATATATAAAGGCGATTTTAAATTTTGAAGATTGAATATTATTAATGCTTTCTGGAAGAAATTATATCACGTAAATTCGTAAATATTTGCTATGCACGACGAAGATATAAGCTTATCTATCGTAGATGATATAAAAACTATAGATAGTCTGCATTAAAAAATCAAAACAGAATAATAAATCATAAAAAAATTTGAATCATATAAAAATTTTTCCTTCAAATTTTATATCATATATATCGTGGCTTTTATCGTTTTTTTTTTTTTTAGAATGGTCCACAATTATCAAAATCGAGGAAGAAAAAAAATTTGAGTTTATAAATATACTTATAAATATATTATAATTAAACATCCATAAATTTTAGCTAATTGAATTTCAAAAAAAAAATGTAACATATTGAATTTATTTCGATCAATATATTTTTGACATAATGAAATCAATATCTGTGGAAGATTCTAAGACTCGTAAAAATGAAATTATTAGTGTATGATAAATTATAATTATATAAAACAATTTACTATAAATAATATATTTACCCATTATCATTGCCAATATTACAGGAGTCACAGAAGGAAGGGTAGAGCAGCGACAATCGTTGATAACAATCACGAGAGACCTGAAGATGGTTTAGTCTCTACCGGTCGACTGACGAAGTGAAGTACTGAAACTGACTAGGTTTCAGTATGCACGCACTTGCGTCTCTTTCTCGCATCAAAAACACCGTTATGCCGTTATATATCCACGCTTACTCCTTTGCTTCCTCTCTACCTCATTGTAGTAAGAACATCGGTGTACTGATCACCACGCGACCACGTGTGGACTGTGCGCAGTTGAGAAAATTAGAAAACTGGTACATTGTTATTGACATGCGCTTCTTGGGCCAATCACGCGCCGTTTTCAAGCTTTCTGAATATTTGCATTCTATTTCCACATTTTGGAGCGAAATTCAAACTAGATATAAAAAGGATAAAAAATAATATAAAATATTAGCAAAAATCCTAATCAAATTTATAATGAGATAACTATGTTTTGAAGTAATTTCTTTTTATAAATATTTTTATTGGTTGTAATTGTTCATAGAAATAAAAATTTATATAAAAATGCGAATTATAAATTATAAATAAGAGAAAAGTTAAGTTTCTAAAAATATTTAATGTAATAGTGTAATAGTGTAATATAAGTATAAGAGTATAATTTCTTTCATTGTTTTAGGCGTTTTTTTAACAATTTAATTAGAAAACATATTTTGAAAAAGATGTTTTAAAATATACTTTTAAATTTCTAAATTTAAAAGAATTCCTAATTTTCTTAAACATTTTTAAGAAAATATAATATTAAATTATTTAAACTAATCTTTATAAACAGATAATATTTAAAAACAGATGAAAAAAAATCGATGACGTTTTTTAAAATACCCGCCACAAGTAGTGCGCATGCTAGCAGACCAATACATTTTTAGTAGTAATCAACTGTCATGTGTCACAGATAGACTGACGTTGTTGATGCATCATAGAACAGTTCGTATGAGTTAATTGTTCGTTCATCCATTGCTGTTACTCATAAATACTACTTTAAAAGTGAGAACAATAGTTACTTCAAGGCTAATATTGAAAAAGTGCACGATCGTGTTTCTATTCGCGCTATCCAAGTGATCGAGGTAGGTCACGAAAATAAACAATTGTTGATTTTGTCAATTTCAAATGTTGGTCATTGTAAAGTTATTTTATTTTTAATGTATGCCAATGGCATTCTTTGAATATAAACGTTGTTTATAAAAAATTTATAAAGAACTTTTACGAAGAAGGAACTTTTTTATAGGTTAGAAATTATGACGTCTTATTTTGGAAATATAGGATTGTTATTTTTTATTGTTTTCTTTTCGAAAATTTCATAATTTTTGATTTTCTGAAATTTTAATAATTTTTTTTTTTTATATATTATATATATCTTGTATGAATCGATATAGCAAAATCTTCTGTAAACTGTAATGTTTTCAGTATTACTCAGCATGATAATAGATAAGAAAATTTTGTTCCAAACAAAATTTTATCATTTTTTCGTCAAATTTTTGTGGGTAAAAGATTTAATATTCGTTAATGCTTAAAAATAAATAGACTATAAATTAAAATTAATAACAACTTATTTCTTGTTCCAGTATTCATCATGCCAATTTTATATAGCGTGGTGGCTCGAGGAACAACAATATTAGCAAAATATGCTTCGTGTACTGGAAACTTTGATGAAGTAACAGAGAACATTCTGACAAAAATTCCACCTCAAAATGACAAACTTACGTATTCACAAGGACAGTATTTATTCCATTATATCTGTGAAAATAACATTATTTATATGTGTACGACAGATGCTGTAAGTAATCAAAGATATATGTATACGTATATATGTATATATATGTACATTAAAAAAATATTTATCATACAATTCATCGGTTACTGCTTTTATTTACAATTACCGCTTTTATTTCAGGATTTCCAAAGATCCAGAGCATTTTTGTATCTTGCAGAAATGAAAGGAAGATTTTTAGCTGCTTATGGTCAAGATGCGCAAACTGCAGTTCCATATGCAATGAATACAGATTTTGCCAGAACTTTAGCCAGTACAATGGTAAGAAAAGTAACATACATTTTAAATTACATTTTGCCATATATACATATATATATCTTTTATTTAGAAACATTACAACGAATCCAATCAAGAGATCGACGTATTAGCTAATGCTCTTGGCGATCTAGACGAATTAAAGGACATAATGAGCAAAAATATTGATAATGTTGCGATGCGGGGAGAACGGTTAGAATTACTTGTAAACAAGACTGAAAATTTAACTGCCAACGTAAGTTATTAAAATTTAAAAGTTATAAAAATTATAGTTTTCGTGAATACGAATAAATAATCATTTCGTGGTATTTTTAGTCGGTTACGTTTAGGAAAACAAGTAGGAATTTGGCACGCTCCTTATTTTGGAAAAATGTTAAAATCTACGTTATAGTTGCTGCCATTTTAATTGTGAGTAAATACAAGTTAATTGAAATGTAAAATATTTTTTCGAATGCAATATAAATAATTTTATAAATCCCGTAGGTTGTCGTATACGTTATTGTATCGATATCTTGTGGAGGTTTGGCTTGGCCAAAATGCGTTGGAAATTAATTTATTTTTGTAATATTCAGACACGAAAATTGTGTCTTTAAATTGTGATAAGAATTTAATCGAAGCCAATTTGCGAAAAAATACACATACAATGTATATTTTACTTTTTAGTTTATGCTAAGTTGAAAAGAAACTAAAAAATATCGTTTAATTCTACGGCTTTAACAAGATAAAAGTTATGTAAAAAAAGTAATATTAGAAAATGTATAAATATAAATAAGTGTAATCCTTCTAATATTTTTATTATCTTACCAAAAAAGTATAAACACCGTTGATATTTCTCGAATGACAAATGTAATTTTAACATCACTCGTATATCTACGAATAAACTCTGTAAAAAAAAAAAAAAAAAATAAAAAAAAATAAAAATAAATAAATGGAAAAAGAAATAAATAAAATGATACCAGTATTTATTGCGTTTCCAAAGTCATACTCGATGGTGCAACAAGTGAAGGTCACGCGCAACACTCGTATTTCTTCCTTTATACAAGTTTATTGCGTTCAACTTGAGATTAAATCATCGAATGTGGAAATATTTCATCTTTACTCCGAACGAAATTACACGAAAATTTATCGAATATTCAGTCTCTTTCACACCATTAAACGCATTACATTTTTTTCACGCGGGAGTCGGAAAACAGCGCACTCGGTATACTGTTTTGTCGAGTCTAGCGCATGCTCCAATACATATTTATTTCTCCAATGTGACTAGTGTGAACAAACCCCTGCGCATATTTTCAATCTCTCGATCCTTAAAATTTCCATCAAAAATCGTTTTAAACGCTTTCGAATTACAAACTAACAAGAGAAAACTAACGCATCCTAAAATTTGCGCGTTCCTAAAAATATACAACTTTATCGATAAAACAATAAAATCTTTACGCGCAATAATATCAATGCCCTATTCAAACAACCGTGAATATCGAAAACAACCAACAAACAAATCTATGAGTACAGATAAAATTCCCGAACGTCGCGCTAAATTCGATCCATCGTCGAGCGAATCCCTTGTAGAATAGATACGGTACTGGGAGCGTAGCTGGAAGGATGTCGGCGGCGTGGGACGGGTGGCGGCGTCGCAGGCGCTGTGATCGCGACGCCCGGGCCATCGCAGCAGCCCGGCAGCTCTGGCAGCAGGATGTCGATGGCTCGCGTGGCGCGCCCTTCGGGGGGTGCCAAAGAGTGTCGTCTCGGTTGCTGGTCTCGGCGCAACGATTGATCGTACGCTTCGCCCCTGAACCCGCGCTTCGAAAACACTTTCGATCGCAAGGTCGCATCAACAAGTTCCAACCGTTTTGTTGTTTTGTTCTCTAGGCCGGCCACTCTCCTCGCTTCGAATACAGATTACGATACGTTCGAAGGGAAACAAGGATTTGGCACAAGGTTCCATCGCGCACGCGACGAAAAGCGGACGCGTGGTGAATCGCGTGTCACGCCGGTTTCCTCGACTCCGCTTCCCCTTCGATCGCTATTTGGTTTGGTGACAGTGGTGGTGGTGGTGGTGTGGGTGGTTTCGTGCGGTTCGAAATAGTTCTCGCGGCCGGCCATGGAACCGCGGAGGTTCCGGATAGCGGAGGCTAGCTGACGGGTCCGTTGACGCCGATCGGATGTCCGCGCGGGAGGGTAGGAGGAGGCAGTGCAAGCCGGTGGATGAAAGTGAAAACGAAACGGACCGCGACACGGGGGGATGAACGAACGTGGAGAACGTCCGATCGTGTCAGACACAGAGGCCGTAAGTGGATTTTCTCTCGTGTGTACGCACACACTCTCTCTCTCTCTCTCTCTCTCTCTCATCTTTTTCTCTCTTCTGTTTTTATTTCACGTTCAACGAGGGACGTGGTACGATCCAATTCTTCTCTTTTCCAAATAAACGAGTTACGTAATACGGGGATAATAAAGGAAATATAAACAGGACGTAAAGTCGTTGGAATAATCGAGTCGGATAAATACATCGTAATAGTTGCGTTTTCGCGTTAGATAGATTGGATCGGCACGCTCGACCTAATTAAATTTATTTCCCCGTTGCTATCGTTTCGAGAGCATCGGTTTTCCGTGTTCGGTAGCGCGGAAATGCAGGCTGAAAGTGGCGGATCGGTTGCGTGCATCCCCCGTTTTCGTGGCACGCGTTAGATAAAGCGAACGAAACGGGCTATCGATGCAAAAAGCCAATGAACTGCCGGCGAGCATGAACGCTCGGATGGAAATACCTGCCTTTCCCGGCACGCGATATAAGCGACGGAAAATCGTTGCCGCGGATTAACGTACGATTTACCAACGTCCGATCGTTTCCCAAATTTTTCCACGCGACGTTTATCGTTTCCGCGCTCGAACTCTCGGAGAGAACAAGAGTGATCTCGGAAAACAGGTTTTCCGATTTTCCCGCGCGATTCGCGAGAGAGAAATCAAGGAAAAGAAGAGAAAGAGAGGAAGAGAAAAGCAAACGGTCGAGCTTTCCTAATTATTTTCGAGCTCCCCCGATATTGCAGAAAAGTACCGTGTGCAGCATCATCTTACCCCACCGTTATCTTCTCCCATGGCCCGTAGTAATGCCGTGACGCGTATGGGGAGCCGTTTGATGGAGAAATATTGGACGCCACGCACAGTGGCCATAAAACGTTCCAAGATACGGGAGGGTCCTGCGAGGCATGGCGTTCCAAGCCCGATCCTGAACAGGAAGAATGTTCATTGACGTTGTTCAGGAACACGAGATCCCGGCGAAGTGGCGTCTCACTGGCCCGCGACTCGATCGCGCACGGAAACACAAATGTTCCCCCAAGGTACGAGAACCCCCTCCTCGTTCTCGATCCTCCCCCTTTCGCATTTTACTTGCAAACCACTTCCCTTTTCGCGGCAATCCGCTTCCATCGTTAACGAATGGAAAACTCCCTCTCTCGTTCTCGCTTCGCGTATGCTAATAAACGGGGAAATTCCGCGTTGCACGACGACTAATTGCGATCGCAACAGAGAGTCCTCTCGAATAGAGTCCCTCCGGAGATCAGGCTTTCGCGGGATTAGACGTGGGTCCAAGAGTTAAAGTATCGTCGAGTTCCTCTGGCCAATATCTCTGCTTACTGCTAGACCCCTTCACACCCCTGCTCGCAGTAGTTAAACTCTCTCTCTCTCTCTCTCTCTCTCGAAGCGAAGTAAGCTCTCAGATATATACACACACGAGTGGCTCTATTTTTTATCGAGGTCTCTCTCGATCGAGTCGAACTTAATTAGAGGGGAGGGGGTAGAAAGCTCGTTGACGAGAACGAGATTTTTCCACTGGCCGTTCGAACGACGACGTTACCGCGAGACCGACTTCTAGTTTTAATTAAAGTCAGCCAGTCGGAGTCGCGGCTAAGGCAATTAAGTCGAAGACAAACGGAGGAGGCCCCCATTGAATTTCCTAGCTTTCGTAATTAGTTTCGACGTAACTGAATCCAGTTATCGGGGCGGCCGGTAATCACGCCTATCCTACCACCACCGACCCTTCTCCTTCCGTATCGATGGTGCGACGATCGAAGGCCACCCTTCTCTCCTTCGAGAATCGATCGAAAGGAGGAGAGAAGCAGTTCGGATTCGATTCGATTCGATTCGGAAGGAAACGAAAATTCCAAGCGTCTCTCCGTCTATCTATCTCTCTCTGCCTCTCTCTCTCTCTCTCTCTCTCTCTCTCTCTGCTCGTCGAACAGCAGGGGACGATTCTCTTTTCACTCGCGAGCAACGTTTCGTTGTCCCCGAATCGCGCGGGTGAAAGTAGCGCGGGATGACGGGGTGAAATTTTAATTCGCGCGGACGTTTGATATTCAGAGATCCGGGCTCTGTATTCACGGACTCACGTACGACCACTCACGCCGGCCCTTCTCCTTTCGCAGGGGCATTTTTTGTTTCGCGCCAACGACGAGCAAACTCTCTCGTTTCTCTCGCGTGCTCGCTCCGCACGAACGAGCGGAGCCAACCAACCAACCGACCGACCGACCGACCGACCGACGCGAGAGCGACGGAGAGGGAGGACGGAGAATAGAGCGAGAGCGAGAGAGAGATAGAGAAAAAAGCGCGGGAAGGGCGAAAGACGATAGAACGTCGACGACGATCCGTCATTCAAGGACGATTCTTTCAGGCTGCAAACTCGGTGGATTGTGTGTGCAGGGCCACCCTCTTTAGAATTCCCCGTCCGTGGAGCAAGAAGCTCGTAAAAGACAAAGGGGGTTGGTGGTAGCACAGGGGTGGAGAGAAGGCGCCGAGGCTAGGGGAGGAACGGAGGAAGGGAGGCAGGAAGAGGCGAGAAAGGAAATAAGAAAGATGGGAGAGAGCTCACCGGATCTCAGCCTCCGGCTCCGGCGGGGCAGCTCCGACTCCAGGGATTCCTTCTACATGGATTTTGCTCAGGTACATCGATACGTATCCTCGAGGATATATATATATATATATATATATATAGAGGGAGGAGAAGGAAAAATTTGTATCAATAACAGCGCCCGTTCTGCCGTCTCCACCCGACTCCCGATGATCTCCTTCGATCGGGAAAGTCTTTTCGTTGGTCTGATCGAGGAAAGGCAGAGGTGAAACTTTGCGCACGAGTATATAATAGAGTAGCGCCGCGAAATCTATGTGCAGAGTATGTCCTCGTGCGTAAAAGAACAGAACTTTTGTGGTTACGTTTCGATCGAAAAGGAAAGGAGGGATAAACGATAATAACGATGTAACGATTGACACGGACAGGGCATCGACTCGGACATCGAGGAGGTGGCCCGTCCAGGGGACAACTCGGACCCGATGATGGAGAACCATTTGGGAGAGGAGAACGGGAACGAGCTGCCGCCTATAGAGGACATTACCACGATCCCGGAGGAAGCCTCGGAGGAGTTGCGCGAGGAGGAGGAAGCCGCGGCGATGGAGGCCGCGCTGCGAACACCCGAGGGCCCAATAATTAACACGGAAGCGGAGAAACCACCCCCGCCCCAACTCTCCACGCTCGCCCCCCAAGAGTGAGTATGAAACGCCCAACGTTCAACATTTTTCTCTCTCTCTCTTTCTCTCCCTCTCTCCCTCCCTCCACCCGCGATATATAATTTCATCCGTGGATGAAACCTCCAACTTCCGTTTTAATTGCGATTCCGTGTTTTTTTTTCTTTCTTTTTTTTTTTTTTTTTCCCCTCTTTTCGATCCTTTCGAAGCGAAATCCCTGCTTTCACTCGTTAGGCGCGATCCACTAAAGGTGACCTCCCCCCCCTCGAGGGTGTCGTTCGCGGTTGCGAATTGGAGGGTGTTCGTAACCCAAAAAAAAAAAAAAAAAAAAAATAATAATAATAAAAAAGGTAAAGAAGAGCGAGCGGTTCTGGTAAATATTAGTACACGGCTCGTAAGCAGGTGTTTCCTCGACTGAAAGTAACATTTTCGAGGGGGCAGGGGTGTAAAGGTCATTTTAAGGTCACTTTTTTCCTCCTAATTGAACATCGATATTCGCTTTATTTGACGCGTTTAAGTTAAGATCACGTTGCGTGATGTACGTATACCCGGTAAAAGAGAGAGACAAGTTTCAAAGGAAACGTTGTTAAATTTATTTTTTTCTTTTTTTTTTCCTTCTTCTTCTTCTTTCTTTTTGTCGTTGGTACAAACGACGTCGGTACTTGTGCGAAACGAAAAGAACGTACGTACTTGTTGTGTCTTGCGCAGCATTCAGACGAAAGAGGAACATCGTTAAAACGCGCTGTGAAAACATCTTCACTCGAAAGATCCGTTAGGAAGGAGACCGTGAGGAATGACCGAGCGACGATTAACGCCGATCCTCTGCTCTTAAATGTCTTCCATTCTCTTGGGCTTTCCGCCCAACCCCGTATTCTCTGTCATTAACGTGATTCCGCATTACGCGTCTCGCACGGAGGAGTTTCCTACGGATTTCATAAGAATCTCGAAACGAGAGAGAGAGAGAGAGAGAGAGAAAAATAGTCGGTTGAGTAAACGAAATCTCGACTCGTCGGTCGAAAGAACGGAGGAAGAAAATATTTCTCATCGTGGCTCCGGAGAGAATAATCGCGGAGAGAAAGAAAACGACGATCGAACGACGATTCTCTCGAAGGAATCGAAGGGACGACGCTTCTCTTCGACAAATTTGATTCATCGAAATCGACGAGGAGACGATATTTTATAGAATATTTTTCTTATTTTTCGATAGTCGGATTCGAATACCGACGAAGAAACTTTTGAAACTTTTACGAACACGGCCCATTATTTCTCGCTTTGCAGTAATTGTTCGTAACGTAACGTCACGAACGGTAGCGAATTACCGTTCCCCCTAAACGGCCACGTTTCTCCTCGTCCCTTCGTTCGAACGAGCACCACCGTTCCATGGAACATTAGTCACTGTCCACGATTAACGCGCGCATCCCTCGTGCATCGAATCGGGGAAGCGGGCGACGGGCGGTTATCGTACGTACATACGTCCACCGATTGAACTTGATCGTGAAAAATCGCGTCGCGAGCGTCTCCATTTTGCCCCAATCAATTTCTACTCGAGGCGGGCGGCCGGCCGGCCGGAAGCGCAATTACACGAACACGTACTACACGTTCCCAACCCGAGAGAACGAGTTGGCGATGATCGGCTAGGATGACGCTTCGCCGCAAGTCGTTCGAAACGAAACACTTTTGATCGAAGCGAAACACTGACCCCGATCCGCGAAATTGCCGCTTCGCCGGATTTAATCCCGCGCAAGAAGCCAGACCTCAAAGGCGTATCTCGACACTCCGCAAACTTCGAAGGAAAACGAAGGTTAACGGAAATCGTTGGAAATTACATACACCGATTTCCGCTTTCCGTTACTCACGATTCACGATCAATTATTTACACTCGTTTCGATTAATTACCGCCCGGCCGGCAATTCCCATCGATCCGCGTGATCCGGGTGGGTGGCCGACCTCCCGTCTCGCGCCGAACTCGATTACTTCCGCCGGATATCGAACGTGAATTCGTGAACGCACGAGCGGCCAACGGCGCCCGAGTTAATATTGACCTGTCACTTCGTTATGGCCAACGGACGACCTTCGTTTCCTCTCTCTCTCTGCCTCTCTCTCCCTCCCTCTCCTCCTCCTCTTCATCACGCTCCTCTCTCCTCCTTTCCCGTTTCACCGGAACCCCCGGTGAACCGTCCTCTCCTTCGACCCGAACGAGAGCAGGAAGACTGGCCTATTCCGTCGATTTACATGCAGATTTGATCAGGGTACGCGCGCACTCAACGCGCCCGAGTCCTTTGAAGCGCGGACTTCGAGTCGGAAGAGAGGGAGGAGAAGGAGGAGGAGGAGGAGGAGGAGGAGCGTGGAGCCTCTCTTTCCCCTTTCCGTTTCTTTCCGCGAGGATTATTATTGGCGGAAGTTGGGAGGAGTCCTCTCGACACGGTCAATCGAAATTGTCACGAAGGGGAAAGAGCGATATCCGAGATTTTCCTTCAACGCGATTTCTTCGAACGCTTCCCTTCCCTTCCCTTCCTTTGTGCGCGCGCTAACGTTACATAAAATCGTGCGCTCCTTCCGCGAGGGTTACGCCACTGCGAGTCTGATTCGAGTAACGAGCTCGCTATCAAACGTATCCAGAGACGATGGACACGACCGGCGAGTGGGATGGGGAGAGAGAAAGAGGGAGACGACGAGACGAGAGAGAGAGAGTCGTGGTTGACTCGCGCGACCAAGTCGAGGGCTTCAGTTTGTGATGCGGGGTCCGAGAGTGGCGTGACACGAGCCGGAGGGCCGTGACTGTGCGTGACTGTCCGGTGCCGAGTTCACCAGCCAACGTTCCGTCGGGACGGCCGAGGAAACCGCCACCCAAGGTCGCGAATATGCTCATCAAGGAGACCTCCCTCAGGTACCACGATACTATACCACCCCCTCGAGGCTACGAATCGATCCGTTTCCTCTATCTCTCTCTCTTTCTCTCTCTGGCTCTCTGCGTTTCTCTCGCTTCACAGACGACTCGTCCGGAATCCTGAAATCGCGCACGCACACAGACGCGCGACTTCGTCTACGATTTCCGATGGCACGTCCTCGTTGCGTCTCGCATGCTTTTCTGGGGGGGAAGGGGGAGGGGGATGGATTTCGATCGATCGTCGAGACCGCGCCGAAATGTTTTCCACTTGGAACTTGTTTTGCGGCCTGGGACGCAGGAGGGATGGTTAAAACGAGGGACGATGGGTAAAGTGGGAAATTCGTGGGGACGAGAGGAAAGAAAACGAATGCGAGTAATTTCTTCCTGGTGTATCGTGAACCGGGTCACGTTCGTTTTCTTTCTTTCTTTCTTTCTTTTCTTTGTTTGTCGGTTCAGGAACGCGAGAAATATAATCTCGAAAACGAGGCGAAGAGTGAGCGAAAAAACGAGGGAAAGGGGATGAAAAATCGGTACAGCCAGAATTTACGTGGCGGAAGTTTGGCGGGGAAACACGATTGAAAGGAAGCGTTGGTGGCACGAGTCGGAGCGCGTGAAGGGAACGAACGAGCGAACGAACAAACGGATCGGCCAACTAACGAAGGAAGACGCGGAGTAGATTCCTGAGGGATATCCCAAAGGGGTGGCGGAGCGACGATGGCCACCGAAACAAGGGTGAGCCGGTCCCCGAGTCCTCGAGCCACGGATACACTCGTGCCACAATGAGGGAAAGGTACTCAGCCACTGAATCAACCCCTCAGTGCCCTCTTGCTCCCCTCTCGCCCGCCAACACCCTCTCGCGCCCTTCCGCTTCTTCAACACTACGTGATTATTTCAAAAAGCTCGAAGCCAAGAGAGACGAGCCATCGTCCGTCTCCCTTCCTTCTTCTCTTTTTCCCGCATTCCCTTCCCCTCCCCTCTTTCTCCCTTCTCTTTCGCGATGCGTAGAAGGGCGCGCGCGGGAGCCACCACGCCGCCCTCCCATCTCCCATCCGAGCGAAAGGGACGAAAACCTATCCGCTCTCGCTACCTACTATCCGCCTCGTAGGGGTAGGTCGCTTTGCGTGCAACCTCGTTTACCTTCTTAAACGCGCGCGGAACAACCGTTTCCCTCGCTATAAATTTAAATAACCCGCCTTTTTCCCGTTCATTCACGCGAATTTATCTTTCCATCCGATCGTATCGGAACGTCTTCAGCCTCCGAATAAATCGAAATCTGGGATCCGAAATCGGGGAAATTGGATATAATTGGAAATTTGAATACGAGAGAATTTGACCCGTTTCGCTCGTAGAGATAATCGAATTACCCCATTTCTATCGATCATCAACGCCATCGAGCCGAATCCGTCTACCTTTTTGCAACGCGAATACGCGAATATCATCCATCCCTCCCCTCCCCCCCAGCTGTTTCTCGATACTCGCGAAACGAAATATTCCGATCTCGATTGCGATCTCCTCCTTCCACCGCGTCTCGAGAAATTCTTTCTGGCGAGGCGGTAAATCAGGCTCGCTGGTTTAAATTGAAATTTCGCCCCGCGAGGACGGAGCAAATATCGTTGCGACGATGCCGCGACGGTGAAAATAATTTACGTTCCACGCCTCGGCTCGACCACGCCGCGGATAAGTCGGCGCGAATTCCATGGTAACCGAGGGGGGAAGAGGAGGGAGGAAGGAGGAAGGAGGAAGGAGGGGGGGCCTCGCCGGGAGCTCGGCCGAATCTCGAGGCACAGGCACGTGTGTGAGAAACGGGCTCGGCCGTGTCACGGGAGGAGGGGATTATTCATTAGATAAACGGCCACTGGTTCGAAAGTCGTCGTCGCGTTAATCGCCGCGTCCACACACGCTCTATGGAGTGGATCTCTCTCTCTCTCTCTCTCTCTCTCTTTCTTCCTGCAGCCAGTGTCAATGCGACGTGTGTGTCAAACGTTACCGCACCGGGTTGACCTTAAATTAGACGCGCGAGAGCCATTTGCGAGTTCCCCTTTCGATTCCTCGAAACTTTTAACCGTTAATCGTGTCCGGCTGCGACAACGAAACTCTTTTAATCGGTGGTTGACCGCCCAAACTCCTCATCTTAGACTCAGACCAGGTGCGAAGAATCGGACTTCTTTAAATATACGAACAACCCGTCGGGTGTTTAATTGTCCTTCTGGTTTCCTTCCTTCCTTCCCTCCCCCCTTCTTTTTCTTTTTATTTATTTTAACGAATCGTGAAAGAAAAATGAATCTCGAGTCGGAAGGGGGTGTGCAATCGAGCGAACGCGAAAAGTCACGCCCCCTTTAATTACTGGAGCTCGCGGCGCGAAAAAGGAGGAAAAGCGTGGAAAGGGAAAAAAAAAAAAAAAAAAAAAAAAAGAAAAGAAAAATAAAATAAAGCTAGAGAAAGCTGGAGTGCAACGCAACGCGAAGTCGGATCCTCGATTTCATTAAGAGCGGGGCGAAAACGGGTCGGAAAATATTTTTCCCCGGCAACGCGCTTAATTACTCGTTCCCCGTGTCCGCGGGGTCTTTGAGCCTCGAGTAACGATACTCTCTCTCTTTCCCTCGTCTCCCGTGTCGCGTGGTCTCGCAACGTAGCCTCGAGTGAGAAATTGTCGCGCAAAACTGGCGGCGTGACACGTTTCCCCCTTGAAAACTTTTCTTGCCCATTTGTCGGCGCGGTTTAACGAGTTCCGATTGGCGGCGAGTAACGACGAGCCAGCGCGGCGAAGTTCGGGGCCAGAGCGTCTTTCAGACGACGACCTGCTGCCGGTGCTGCCGCTCGGGAAACTCGCTTAAACGAATTACGGGGACGGAGCCCGCTCGAAAGCGATAAGCTCCAAGAGGCAAACGGTCGTCTCACGGGATAAATTGCTTTCGACTTGGGCAAATTCGGTTGGGACAAATGAAAATCGTAGACGGATGAGAACGGTAGAGAAGGATCGATTCCTTCGCGTTCGAGGGGACGAATGGATAGATTTGAGAGACGAATTTATTATAAGACATCTATTGTTTATTCGCGATCCCGATTAATTCCTAATCGTGGAATGGAGAGAGTTTAAGCACCCTCGAGGGATGAAATAAGAAATTAGAAAAATGGTTTTATCGACGATGGCGGGCTAACCAGAGCTTAATAATTATCCTCGTAATTGAGCCGCCAATACCGAATACCGGATCGATCGATCGGGCAAGGACAGGATAGGAATAATGAGGAAACACGGTCTGTTCAGCTGGCCAGGATTGCCGGTTGCTCTCCCGTCACCGGCTTCACCGTCCGCGGTAATCGTTTCACCGGAAACGCTGTCTAGACACAGCAGCAGCTCACCCTCCCGCGCTCACCGGCCACCCCAGTTCGCCTTGGCTCTACCATGCTCCTCGCAACCGATCTCCGCGGTCTGCTATCCGGCACCGACCTTCCTCGACGTCTCCGAGGACCGCAAGTGGAAGAAGCTCGGATGGTGAGTATTCTCTCTCTCTCTCTCTCTTTTTCTCTCTCTCTCCACCGAATCGAATCGAATCGAATCGAATCGAATCGGATCGGATCGAATCGGATCGGATCGAATCGGATCGGATCGGATCGGATCGGATCGGATCGGATCGGATCGGATCGGATCGGATCGGATCGGATCGGATGGAATCGGATAGCGCGAGGAGAAGCTACGAGGATCGCCTGCACCGTCGATGATCGCGTGACGTCGTTGGACGGAAAAGTTGAACGCGCGAGAGAGATCGAATCGGGTCACGATATTCACGGTTGAATACGAGAGCGCGAGCACCATTGGCGCGCGTGCACCACGATCGGCTGAAAGATTTCATCTTGGCCGATTATTATTCCCATTCGAAGCGAATTAACGCGAAGGGGGAGAATATATGCAGGCCGCCACGGAAATTTCACGTGATCCTCCGGGTTATCCTGACCAATGTCTGTCTACCGCAATTACCGGTACTTTATGAATCAAACGCACACGCACATGCACACGATTCGAGCACACCGAATTACCCGTAATTGAGCCAATTCTTACGGGGGTGGATGTATTTGCGGCCAATGGTATCTCCACTAAAGCTTCGTTCCGGGGGCCTCGACGTTTCTTTTTTTTCATTCCGATCAAACGCGAGCGCGGGACGCCGCGCTTTCGAAAAAGGGAAAAAAAAAAAAAAAGAAGGAAAAATGAACGTGGAGGAAGATGATATGATTCGTGACAACAGGTAGGAATGACAGGAAACATTAGTCTTAATTTTCCCACGGTGGAGAGAGAGAGAGAGAGAGATCGAACGTGAAAAATGGTTGTGAAATATATCGGTCGCTCTCTCTCTTTCTTTCTCTCTCTCTCTGTCTCTGAGTCTATCTCTCTCGTTCAACAGTTGACACAACGATTGTTCCGTTTGTTGCACAGCGACGCCCTTGCGTCGACTTTTAGCGCTCTCTACGGGAAGCTGTTGGTCGTAATGGGAATCGCTTTTCCCATGGCCGAAGTAATATCCACCTACATACCGCCGTCGTTCTACGAAGGGTTCTACCTTTACCTCTACTTCGGCAGCATGATCTTCCTCGTCTACATGTACGCCACGTTGCTCCGCGATGGCAAACCGAAGTCAAGTAAGTCGATCGCCACGATCGCGACTCATTTTTATTATCTTTACTTTTTTTCCACGATATACGCGTGATTATATCTCGACGCTTGCTTACTCTTTGCGAGATATAATTTGAGTAAAGGAAAAAAAAAAGAATTTTGCAATTTTTTTGTAATTCTCAATATCATTAAAGACGATGGAACGGTCACATTTTAGAAAGTATTCAAAAGAAATTACGAACGGAAGGAAAGAGAGAAGGAAAGATTATTACATTTAGTGCAAGCAATAACATCTAATCACGATTTACACGAAACGAATATTGCAATCGTATCCAGCGTTGGCGAGCAAATAAGTGATTTTAAAAAAAATAAAAATTTGATCTTACTGACTGTATCGATCGTTGGACAATAAATGAAATACAGGTAACGCTGATCCAAACGTTTATCATATCGTCCAATCTACGAGAATCCTCTATTCCACGTTTCTGCTCAAACTTTTGCACCTATCGTTGAAAAAAGAAAGAAAAAAAGAAAGAAAAAACGGTCGCGAACGAGAATAAAAGTTTTCGAAGAATCGAGCTCCCCGTGTTCCGAGGACGGGAAGCTCGGCCCCGAATTAAAATCCCGATTAATCTTAACCGATTGTCATAAATTTGCATACGAGAAGAGAAACGGAAGGACGTGTGCGACCTGGACTCGTCGCGTTCGTCGAGCGGCGCCGGTGGCGACAGCGACGCCGCGGACACCACGTGCCCCCACATGGCTACCGTGAGACCTGCCCAACACTACGGCAGTTTTTATCTGAGGATGGGCGCTGTGGCGTTCGGGATCGGTTCCATGATCTACTCGGGCCTCGAGTTCGGCCAATACTTCGAGCTCGAGCAGAACACCAAGTGCCACAACATCATGCTCGCCCTCACGCCGGCCACTAGGATGGCGTTCATCTTCATACAGATGTATTTTATATTTCTCAACAACGAGGTTCGTTCTGTTGTATTAACGTCCATAACGAGGAAATGGCAGAGGAGAAATAACTACTCGAGTGCGTCAGCTGATATAAACGTGTTCGCTGATTTGAAATTAAGTAAAAACGTTTGCTTCTTTCGTCGACGGTGGAAAAAAAGTCTCCTTTTGTTTCTTATCGTGGTATTTGTCACACGCGACAAAATGAATTGTATTTAAAATCTCGATGCATTAGGCATAGAATTCTATCGTATGTAACATACAAATTTTGTTATTTCTCGTAATATTTGACTAATTAGACGATTTGTAACGGTGGTTTAATTTATAAATGTAATTTTCTATTCGAGATGTAATTAAAATCAAGCTAGATATTAATATTATATCGAAATAATTAATAGTTTAGACGATTATTCTAACGTAACTTCATAAATGAAAATAATTTTTAACACTAAAATTACAACTCTCAGGATCGCGAACAAAGCGCCACCAAATTTCTTTCCACCGTTGATTGTTTCGGTCAAAATTTACGAAAACAGGGATTGTGACGAGAAGAAGTAACAGTCTGCGTCTGCCATGTTCTCGAACAGTAGAGATTCACGTTCTCGAGAAGGGAATCGCAACGATTCGATTCGATTCGATTCGATTCGTCGTTTATCGCGGGGGGGAAAAAAATGGGGGACGATTAAGCGAAAGCCGCGAGAGATTGAGATCGGTCTGTAGGTGAAGGGGCTAAAAATAACGTAGTGGCATCGATGATGCAGAGATCTGAAACGTGGCACGTAATGAAAGAGAGCGTCGATGCAAAACGAGAGAGGCAGAAAGGCTAGAAAGGTTAATGAAACGGAAGGGTGAACAACCCTGAAACTAATACTGGAACACGAGTCGTCCGACGACCTACCTTCCCAGCTTTGCTCTTTGCCCCGCGACAGATGAATATCTCTAGCTCCACTCGGCCGCTTTTGATTAAAACTTTCCTCTTTCTCGTCGAGAGGATCCTCGATCCAGAATTTCCATCGTTACCTGCCCGTTTTACATCCTCCTCGACCTCTCGATTACGATTCCTATTATTATTATTATTATACGTCTCTTTGAAGAGGATCGTTGCGATTCTATCGGCCCCGTTTTCGATTCCGTCTTCAACTAAATTCCGCTCTCTTCGTCAACAGCAAATGAAAGTTTATCGCCATCGGGTGGTCGCGCGCTTTGGACTGATGCACATGATCGGGACGAATCTGTCGGTCTGGTTGAGCGTCCTTGTACAGGAAACGAAACACGAGATTTTGACGTTCTACAATCCGGAGAACAACTCGTTAAGGATCTCCCACAGACTAGGTAAGAGAGATTATTATAAGCGTAATCTAAACGGTTCGTCAAAAGGAAAGAGAGAAAGGAAAGGAGTTGAAGTCGAAAGCCTCGATGGAATGGAAAAGTGAAATTGTTATTGTCGAAGGCGCGAAGAGCAATCTCGCGGTGCACAACCACTACCACCACGGGGAACAACACCTGAGGCTTCCAAGGGGGCTTAAAGGGCCCCATCACATGTTCGAGTGTCGAAGAACGAACATAATGGGATCGTTGGTCCAAGATGCCAGCCCGTTCCTCTTTCCTTGCACGATCGAGTACAGCTTGATCTGCGCCGCGATCCTCTACGTGATGTGGAAGAACATATCTAAGGCTGCCTTCTCCCAGCCTAAGACGCCACCCGGATCCCGCCATCACGCCCACGCTTACAGGTTCGTCCAACTACTTTTTATTATCAAAAAAAAAAAAAAAAAAAATGAAAAGATAAAAGAAAAGAAAAGAAACCTTTTCTAAGGATCTCAACTTCCTCCCCTTTTCAGGAAATCACCCCACCATTACAGCGTGGACTGCGCCCGCGCCCACAAGGGCCTGTTCGTCGGCATCTTGATCCTGGTGCTGACGATCATCTCCCTGATCCTGTTCTTCGTGCTGATATCTCGTCCAGAATTGGTCAGCTTCGCCGTGACCGAGGTGAACGTGTGCGAATTGACCCTGTACGGGATGTCGACGATGGCTACGCTGATAGGAATGTTCCAGATGAGGAAGCTCCGCTACGACGGGAACAGGAACTTGGAGTTGGACAATATCCTGTTGGTCGCTGCCCAGACGGGGATGTTCATCTACTCGACGTTCACGATAATCGGCGCCCAATTCACCCTCGCCAAGCACACGGTCCTGGTTTTGGTGACGGCGCTCGCGAGCGTGGTGCAGACCACCTTCCAGACCATCTTCATCCTGGACGCGTCGAGGCGATCCGTGGCGACCGCGAAGCAGATCAGAAGGAAGCCCGGAAGGGAGATCGTCACGTTCCTCCTTGTCACGAATCTGGCCATGTGGGCGATCAACACGCTGGAGAAGTCGAGGGCGGAGTCGCATCCGGTCCAGCTGCACTTTTACGGGCTTTGGGCGTGGACGATCATCACCCACGTCTCGATGCCGTTGGCGATATTCTACAGGTTCCACAGCACCGTTTGCCTGTGCGAGGTCTGGAAAAGAGCGTACAAGGTGAAGCCTACCTACATGTGACGTAAGGGGTCCCGTGAGGTCGTGTGCAAGACGGCGGCTCCTCAACGACCGAAAACCCTGCCGGCCAGGCTGGACGCCATCGCGGAAAACGATCCGATTTACTTTATGTAACAGAGAAAGAGAGAGAGAAAGAGAGAGAGAGAGAGATTCTCTTCTTTCGCCTCTCTTCTTCGTCGCTCGAGGTTCTCGCCAAGCTCCAAAACTGCGAATATATATATATATATAGAATATATCGTTCACCAGGCGTTGTTCTATAGGTATTTGTGCGATGAGCGATGGACGAGCCTCGAGTTTGAGAAGAAATGGCGGTTGCGGTTTGTTTATTATTATTACTTTTTTTTCGATCGTCGAGAAGTCGCGTTTATTTATATCGTTTAGATAATAATTGTATAAGGTTTTATATCGAATCGTCCTCGCGTCTATGAAGAGAAGAAAAGATCACGATGTACATACACACACACACACACACACACACACACCACACACCGTTTTTTCACCGCAACGAGGTGGAAACTCTTCGAGATCTTTTAAGAGGAACAAATAAGAGTAGGGGAGAGAAAGATGGCACGATTAACGACGCACAATTTTTACCGGCATTTAGATAACGTAGACGATTAGTCGAGTAGTCGAATCGTCGAAGCAACGGTTGTTCCTTCGATATTCTCGGGAACAATAAAAATTTCTGTTCGATAAGCGTTAAGACGATTTTCTATATACTCGAAAATAGCGAGTGAGAGAGAGAGAGAGAGAGAGAGACAGAGGGAGAAATAGAGAGAGAAAGAGAGAGTAAGAGAGAGAATGAAAAAGTATGCGTGTACAAAGAAAGAGTGCGAAGAGAAAGGGATGTCTTTTCTTCTTTCTTTCTTTCTTTCTTTCTTTCTTTCGTTGATCGTAAAAGTTTGCAAGACTGAAATTTTAAGCAACCTTAAGGACGATGGTTGATGATGGTTGATGGAAGAACGATTCCGTTTCTGGCCGAACGCAAATCGATCGAAGAATATTTAACAGAGAGAAAGAGAGAGGGAGAGAGAGAGAGAGAGAGAAATCCCTGATCGATCTGTCCTTCGATTAGTTTACTCGGATATACTCTCACGGACTCATCCGTCTTCCACGTAGTACAAAGTTGTACAACTTAACGAGTAAAAAAAAAAAATAACAATAATAATAATAATAATAATAATAATAATAATAATAATAATAATAATAATGTCTCTCGTTGTCCAAAAGTTAATAATTTCAGAAAAGAGAGATTGAAAAGAAAAGAAAAAAAAAAAGAAGAGGAATCGAGAGAAACCAGATTAACCAGATTAGATGTAAAGTCCAATACTTATTCGTCACCTCGAATAAATTTTTATATCGTTATTACGTAGATTATGTTCTCTCTTCGTTGAAATCTTTTAACGAGTCTCTTGGCGAAGATAAAAATTGGATTGGAAGAAACAGAGATAATCCTCGCGCGAAAACCCAACACGTTAATAATGTTAGAAACGTGCAACGTCTGTTTCTCGCGATTTCACGTGGCAACGTCTCGCTCGATCGATCGATCGTCCGCGTTTCGAGGAAAAGGAAGCCTCTACCCGTCGAGCGTGCAACCGCCTTACGGTTATCCTATACTCCAAATCCATCCGAGTTTACATAGAAATTACAAGAAGGTTTTCCAAGGTTTTGCACTCGCCAGACGTTGCACGTTGGTCACGAATCTGAATTCGAAATATCGGTCGTAGTCGACCGATGAGAAAAACGGAGATCAGTTTATCAAAAGACAGAACCGAGTCGATGTTTCGTGCGTTGTTTCCAATCGTTTCTTAAAAAAAAAAAAAAAAAACCAAAGATGAATAGATTTAAGTTCGTTGGAACATTTGTAAACGGAAATGGAAATAACGCAATGGGCATCGTCCCGTAGAAATTCCAATATCATAGTCGAGGAGATGATAAACTAAACTGATTAAAAGAAAAAAGTGTTGAAAAAGACAAAAGTATAGAAAGATAAACGTTCGAAGAACAGAGTACAATGGCGATATCATATCATTAAGCCTTAATCCGTCGAGTGTGCTGTCCAAACTTCGAATACGATTAAAGAGGAAGAACGAGAGAAGAGGAGAAAAAGAAGAGAAGCAAAGAAAAAAAAAAAAAAAAAAAGGAAGGCAGATCAAAGAGATCGAGCGATCGATCGACCGTTAATATTCTCGAGAGAATAAGCCGAGCGTGTTCGATCAATCGAATCCGTTCGACAAACAGTCGTTTAAGCATGTGGAAGACATCGAACGAGGATCTAAACGATCCGTGGAGAGCGTGAAATCGAATCGAATCGCATCTAATCGATCGGCGCGGTGTGCAATACTATTGTTCTGCGAGTAGTGTACGAGTATGCGAGTGTATGTACGATTGTTTTGTGTTGCGTGTGTCCTCTTGGGAACAACTCGGCGAAGAATGGTCGAGAGAGAAAGAGAGAGAGAAAGAGAGAGAGAAAGAGAGAGAGAGAGAGAGGGAGAGGAAAAAGGGAAACGGAAGAGCGTCGATGGCGTAAAAGGTAGCGATATTTTTTTTTGTTTCTAGTGTCTCTCGCGATAGGCGCTTTTTATTTTTCTTCGTCCATAACGATCACGTTATTCGCGACGATATTATCAATGGAAATCCAAAGTCTGCGTAGTTGAACCGGTTGATTCTTTTGTAAATTCTACTACTGTGTGAGGCGGGTTGTACATAGGCGAGGTTAAGGAGGGAAGGGAAACCGTAAGAAGGATAAGTGTGAAGGGAAAAAAGGGAAAAAAGAAAAAAAAAAAAAAAAAGAAAATGGATCCTCTCGATGTTTAGAGCTAGTTGTGTCGACATGTTTCTTCCTATATTATATATAATATATACACATATATATACAAATATAAATATATTTATTATTGCGTTGTTCTATTATAATATTTATTGTATTATCAGATATAGGATTTACGCGCGACACGTTACGTTTATTGATCGGGGCTCGTGTCGAGATTCATCATTTCCACCGCGTTTTTCCCTTCGTTCGCCTCTTCCTTTTCTAACACTATACTTCTCTTTTCTTACTTCTTCTTCTATTCCTTTTTCTTCTTCTTCTTCTTCTTCTTCTTCTTCTTCTAGTTGCCATTAATCGAACGATTAAAATCGAAGCTTTCGATCCGTTTTCCATTTCCCTCGTTTTAACACCTCGACGATTAAACGGCGATCTCGGCACGAGTTTTAACCGAAATCGAGGCGAAACACGAAACGAAAAGAAAAGAAAAAAAAAAAAAAGGAAAAAAAAAAGGAAAAAAAAAGAAGAAAAAAAGAAACAAAACGGAGATAAGTCACGATGTGCGCAATTCGAGCAAGGGTGAACGGGGTAAACGACGAATATACCCTTCTATGTCACGTCTCTAAACTGTACTTTTTCTATGTCCGCATACTCTAGTTCCTACGCAATGTTTGTACTCTTATACCCTTTGTACTATTTGTACCTTACGAATTGCAATACACTCGTCCGCAATAATAACCTGGTTTCGTTCTTTGCAAACCGAGCGTTTGTCGTAGCGGGGCCGAAAAAAACAACAGAAAAAAAAAAAAAAAAAAAAAAAAAAAAAAAAAAAAAAAAAAAAAAAAATATCCGTCCTCGTTTCCCAAATATCACCCACTCCGAATAATGAATCCAGGAAACCTATTTCCTGCATCTGCATCTGTAAAAAGCAATAAGAAAAATTACTCGGAATATGCAATATCCATATTACTGCACATATCCCTTCCTTTCCTGATAAAAAGACAGTTTCCATCTCTATGGCTAGAAGTTTGTCAACAGAGTATACGGCCACGAGGCCGAACGTCGACCTAAATACCTTCGATTCTCTTCTCTCTAACTCGGGAGCCCGAGTTAATCTCGACTCGAATCTCTCTCACCACGGTCACTCGACTCGAGATCGAGTGGCCGAACCGAGTCAAAGGAGAAGATAACCGAGCCGCGATGCAACTTTCTCTCACGACAAAATGCGTCTTAGATCGATCTCTCTCGAGATCTCAATTTTAAAGAGAAAATTATCTTTGGCTCGATGATAATCTGATAGAATTTACGAAAGTGTACCGCGCAAAGAGAATAAGGCCTCTTTTAAAAAAAAGAAATATTTCTTTAAAAGTCTAGTGTTACAGACGCATCTTCTGTTTCGCAAACCTTGAAAAAAAAAAATCGTTCTTCCTGCGAAAATAAGCGTGACATCGTCGAATACTTGCGTCATACGAGAAACTCTTTAATTGATTCCTCGCTAATAAATGCGTTCGTCGTGTTCACACATACTAAAATCGGCAAGGTCGATCCATTAGCGAATACGCGTGCATTTATGCATCCTTCGTGCCGCGCTGGATGCGACTGGTTTCCGTATTACGTGTGCAGTCTCTTAATCGGGAAGTCGCCTTAATTCTCCGTAAGGTGAGTAGCTTCGTTTTCTACCGATCGCGATCGATCGTTTCGTCTTCTCCAAAATTTTGTTTTTCGGGCAACATCTTCTCAAAAAAGAAACGCTCCAATTTCTTTCACCCCCCCCCCTCCCCGATTGAAAACGAGCAATTTCGTCGCATATTAGCGCCGTCTGGAATCACGTGCATACTCGCATCGAAGTCTCGTAACGCGAAGTATTACACGGCCTTGCGGCATAATCGGGAACGCGTTATATCACTTTTGTTCACCTTTTCAATACGCGTAGCGGGAACTCGTCTTGAAAGATTAAAATAATCATAAATACGCGAGTTGCGTCATAATGGTATCGTCAATAATATCTAACAACCTTATAATTAAACATCTATTTAACTTTGCTCACTTTAATTTGCTCCATTAATTTTGCTCACTTTGCATACGTTTAACTTTTATTATATCTCGTTAAAATAAAATTCGCGCGCTTTTTTTCTTTTTTTTTTTCTCTTAAAAATCTCGTTTCTATATCCTCGCTTAGTTTACAGCCGTTTATATAATTCAAGGCAAGTCTTGGTTAACGATTTTTCTCACCGTTCTCCCTAAAGACGTAGCGATGCGCGCGCTATCGGATACCTTTCGATCGATTCGATCGCTCGTCTAATCGATCGGGGGCCGGGTTAACCCAAATGATCAGGCGAATTCGCTGATTGATGACGCGGGGGAAAGGGCGAAGGGATCGGGCGAGAATCCGAAGGGAAGGCGGCCGAGCGTTGAACGAAAGAATCGGGAGGGATCGGCGTTTCTTTTTTATCGGTGAGCGAGGGGTGGGGGATAAGAGGAGCGTTGCACAAGAGAGCGTGCGAACGAAACGACCCTTTACACGCCTCGCAATAATGTTCACCGGCAGGTGAATCGGGTGTGGGCGTGTATATACGCCTGGCTCTCTCTTTTTCCACGACCCCGCTATTTTGACTCGCGATAATAAAAGCGCGTTCAAAAACTCGAGGCTTTCGCTATCTTACACTTCTTGGCACTTTGTCATTGATACTTTCATGATATTCAATTTCTATCCATCATGAGTCCAACTGCTCCACAATTGTAACGGATAACGATGGTGATAATTCGTTTCGAAGAGAGACAGGTTTCTTCCTTTTCTTTTTTTAAAAAAGAATGCTCTTTAAGGGAAGGAAGAATAATTTCTTTTTTGGGAGGAGAGGGGAGGGGTATCTGACGGAGCGTGACAGTGGAAACTCTCGACGAGAGCCAAACGTTCTGGTGGCTGATCGTTCGGGGTCCCTGGTAATTAAGGGCTAAAATTCAACCCTCGTGGGCGTTGTCGAGCTCCCGCACCGACGAGGGTGTACTTTAGCCGTCAAACTCTCCGTAACGTGCCCTCGTATCCATCGTTACGCTTAAATCGTAATGGAAAAAATCAATAACCGCGGAAGATTATTCTTGGAAATAAACTAAATTCGAAGCGAAATCGTTTTCCTATGTACGAAACATTATTTACTCACACGATCGTGCCCCCTTGAAAATGTACAATACCTCCTTCACAAGATTCGACCGTTTCACGGATTCGCTTGCACGCACGCCGGTGTTTTGACGCTGGTCGAAAGATCGAACGGCGAAGAAAAAGAAAAAAAAAGAAGGCAGAACGTTATAATAAATATCAAGAATCGTTTTCACCCCCGCGAATAAAAATGCTCGAAAACCAAAACGGGGGTGAAAATTTTTTCAAAAATCTCATTCCACGAATAGAATCTCCGAATGGTTCGAACAAGGTTCGAATAATCCTATCACCCTATCGCGAGAAACGAGTCGGCAACGGGCAAGAGGGTGAGAGCGTGCTCTCAATGTTGGCCGGGTGCTCCGATTAAGGCCACTCGAGGCCACCCTTCGGTTACATCGAGGAAGAAGAGGAAGAAGATAAAGAGGCATCGGCGTCGTACTCCTCCTCCCGCGAGAACGAACGAGTCGAACTCCTATTTCCAGAGAACCGGAAAAGGGAAGGGAATAGAAAGAGGAGAGAAAGAGATGGAGAAAGAGACGAATGGTCGTCGACGACCGATTCGACTCGATACACGGGATCGAGTATAGAGAGGCCGAAAGACGGAGAGAAGGAACAAGAGATAGATAGATAGATAGATAGAGAGAGAGAGAGAGAGAGTAGATCGTCGAGGGACAGGCAAGCGTCACGGAGTGGAAAAGCGTATCGCGGGGGGTTAAGGTATTGATCGTGCTTCCCCATCGTGCATGGGGGTGGCTTCGCGCGCGGCGACCCCCATAGCCGTTGCGACGCCATTACAGCGGCATGGAACGCGCGGGGACGTAGCGTAAAAGCGGCCCAACTTCTCGAACCGTAACACGCAGGGTGCGTTTTTCCTTTTGACGAAGGAAAAAGACGAGCGTGGGGGAGGGTGCGAGGGAGACGCGCGCGTGCACAAGGCCGTGAGCGTGAGGCGGACGAGGGTGAGACGAGGGCGGATGAGGGAGGGAAAAAGGAAAGAGAGAAAGAGAGATTGCGTATCGCGTTGGGAATAGAAGTGGCGTGTGTGCACGGGCAGAAAGGTCTGTGTGGTTCGCGGCGAAGCTTCCGGCCACGGCGCAAGCTCCGAACACCTTGTTTACATTCGACCAACACCGTTGAGAGGAAGCACGTTGCTCGAAAATAAGGGAGTAGTTGTGGGAAACGTGACGGCGGCGTGCCGATAATAAAGTATCGCCGTGCTTTCGCTCGAGGGACGAAATCGGGAGAATTCGAAAGGGAGGATCGGAGGAGCATCCATGGCGTTCCACGGGCGCATCGTCGTCGCTTAATGGACGGGTGAGTACGCTTCGCGTAAGTGACTTTTATGCGTCCACTCTCTCTCTCTTTCTCTCTCTCTTGTTTACAATACGCGCGCGTGTCTCGACCTCGTAAGCGCACCTCGAATATCCCAGTCTCCGTTCGATAAACGACTCGAATTTTCGAGTTTCTGTCGAAATTCGTGTAAATTGGGGGGGGGGCTCGATTCGAATTGTTGTTCGATCGAGGGGACGCGGCCTGTTGACATTTTTCCCGCGCTCCCGAGTCTAATGACGCGCCTTGGCCGGTGAAACGGAAAACGAAAGCTGTCTTCGTTCCCTTATTCTTCGAATCCGAGTTCGAGAAATATTTTCGATTGGAACGAAATTTTAAGAAACGGGGATAAACGATCGGTGGAGATGGCGGCGGGCGAGATTATGGCCAATTGGAGAATTTATGGTTTGGCCATATCGATTTTGGCGGAAGGCGCGAAAAGCGGAGCCGGTACGAATTTTCGACGACGGGTTTCGCGGTCAACGACTTTTCACGGCAAAACAATTTCCAACGCGAGCTTTATCGATCTCCAAGCTAGTCGCGTGTAACGAACGCATCAGGTAACGTAACAGCCGGGATAATAGCGTCGGAAGTCGACGCTATTTACTTGCGCAACGGTACTGTCCAATTGCGGGATAACGTGCCGCCAATCGATAAGCGAATATGACGAGCGGATCGGCGTTAATTAACCGCCTCTCATAAGCGAACTTTCGTCTTCGTTTCAATCCGCTTACGCTCACCCTGCTTTGCTTCGGGGAAATTCCGATATATTGAACGCGAAATTGAACGATTACACGGTCAAAAAATCGAGTCAGGTGTAAGAGACACGTAGACGAGAGATGGTGTGCGTGTATACCGGGTGTCTGGGTTCATCGTGGGCCGTGGCATTGAACTGGAGGTCGGTGGAGAAGTTGGACGAGGGGAAGTTGGAAATGGACGGCGCGCTTCTCTTCCTTTCGAACGGTCGTGAAATATCCTCGTGCGGGGACATAAATTCTCGCGAATCGAAATCTGGTTTTTTAATAATCGGGAGAATTAATTATTCCTCGAACGTTTAGATTCTTTCTGTAATGGATAGCTGCTTGGAGAAAATAATTAGGCATTCGAGAACGACTTTTGATACCTTTGAGATCTTTGAATTTATCCGAATCATAACTCAAAGTTCTTCTTCTTCTTCTTCTTCTTCTTTCTACCTCTTTCAAAAGGCGCGCACCAAAGAAAGTCTTTTTTTTTCTTTCCACGAAAGGAAAGAACG